GCTTCAGAAGGAACAGGGAACATAAAATCATATAGTCAATATTAGGTGGATGATGGAAACAGCAACAGAATATCAAAAAGAGCTTTACTTCTTTTTTATAGAGTACTCCAAAGCTTTTGATTGTGTTGATTATTCAAGACTCTGGAAATCTCTCCAAGCAATGGGTATACCCAAACATCTAATAGAGTACTCCAAAGCTTTTGATTGTGTTGATTATTCAAGACTCTGGAAATCTCTCCAAGCAATGGGTATACCCAAACATCTAATAGAGTACTCCAAAGCTTTTGATTGTGTTGATTATTCAAGACTCTGGAAATCTCTCCAAGCAATGGGTATACCCAAACATCTAATTCTTCTAAGAAATCTCTAGAATAACCTAGAAGGTACAGTGAGAATGACATTTGGTAACATTAAATGATTTAACTTGGGAAAAGGAGGCAGACTGGGCTGCATATCACCGTATCTATTCAAACTATACAATAAATACATTATAAGTGCCACAAATCTGGAAGAACTAAAATATTGGTGGAAGGAATGTCAATAACCTAAAAAAATACAGATGACACTACCTTGGTTGCAGAAACTGGAAAAGATCTAAGATGAATAATTCTAAAACAGGAAAGTGAAAAGGCTGGGCTTTCTTTGAACATCAAGAAAACAAAGATCATGTCTACTGGAAAACTAGAGATAGTAAATTCCACATTGGAATTTAAGATAAACAATGAAATGATACAAATGGTTGATAGTTTGATTTTCTAGGCTGCAGAACTGGTAAAGATAGTGTGTAAAAGAGAAAGAATGATGATGGGCAAAAAGGAGTTCATATAAACTAATGAACAACTGTGACATTTCATTTAACATAAAAATTAGAATGGTCCATTCACTGGTCTTATACATATGAATACAAGGAACAGACTTGTGAAAGAATGAGAAGAAAAAAAATTGCTCCTACAGAGCTGGAAGAAGTTGCTTCACATTTGTTGGACAGACCAAACAACCAACCATTCAGTACTAGAGGAAATCCAGCTGAGATGTTCATTAGAAGCAAGGATCCCAAAACAAAAACCACTTTAGGCACATCATGAGGACTGATAGAAAAGATAATGCTGGACAAGACGGATCGAAGGAGAAGCCAACAGCACACAATGGGGCTAGGCAGAGTATTGGAAGCTATATGAATGCATATTCAAGAACTGTGTAATGTAGTAAGAGACAGGACAACTTGGAGAGTATTTATCCATAGTCACCAGGAGTTAGCTACAACTCAAAAGGACGTAACTACAACAAATACATGTTTAGCCACACTGATGAAAGGATTGTGGTCAAGCATTATTTCTCAGCTAAATCTCCCCACAGAAGATAGATAACTCAGAAGTAAACTGTATGATACAAAAGTTCTACAGAATGTTAATAGTCCTCAAACCTAAAAGACTGAGAAGGAGGCAGTTCTGCATGAGTTAACAGAAAGCATCTGCCACATTTTGCAAGTCTCCTCTTACTGCACTTTTATTTTTGTACTTCTGACTGAAATGGTCTCAGATTTCCTCTTCTCTTTAGCAAGATATCACTGTGTATTTCCCAACAGAGAATAAATTCAAAGTAAGAACTTGTTTTAAAATAAATAGCATTTTGTCCTTTGCCTTTCCTAAAGGTGCTTCTGTGTTCCCTCTTAATATTCCAGAAACTTAAACTTTGAACCCAGTGAAAACCTGATGGCTGGAGGTGGAAAGGTCTCTGTGGAGCTCAGTTCTGCAGCTTGTTTTTCACACCAGGGCTCAGCTGTTGAACACGAGAAGCGACAGGGGAGAAAAGGTCATTCACTCACTAATAAATAACTATAAGCAGCTTCCACACATCTAGAATTTGAGAAGAGGGGCAGATATTCCCAATAGGAAGTTGAAACTTAAGAGACATCCCCAATACAATCTTGTATTCATTTAACAGAGCCCTGCTTAAGTACCTTGCAGTGCTAGAAAACTGCAAAGGCATGCTGAAAAATGCAAGTGAAAGGGCAGATATTGGAAGAAATCAGTGGTCCCCCCCTCCCATCACCCTTTAAACCCAGCAGGATGGGAGCAAGCAGGAAAAGGAGGTGATCTTCCACACTCAGCCAACACAATGGAATGCAGAACAGACAGTTATGAAAGGGGGGAAAAAAGATATTACACTCTTATTTCATTTTTTTAATTTCCTCTGAAGTTGAAGGAAATTCAACCTTAAACACAAATGCAGTAGTTCTTAAAGTGTGGCCTGGGGACCTCTGGGGGTCCCAGAGACCCTTTCAGGGGATCTGCAAAATCAAATAAATATTTTACGATTTCCCACTTTTAATTTCTAATACAGTAAATGTCAATAGATGTATCCCACATAAACCAAAGCTCTTTGGGGCTCTCAATCATTTTTAAGAATGTAAAGAGGTCTTGAGACCAAAATGTTTAAGAACCCCTGCACTAAAGCAACCTTCCCCAAACCTAATTATGCTGGATCACAACGTCCATCGCCCTCAGCCTCCTGGTTGGGAATTATGGGAGATGCGCTGTAGGTTGTAGAAGTTACCGGGTGGATGGGGTATAGCCTCCAAGAAGATCTGGTGGGTCGCAGATGTTTCCCCACTTCTGCATTAAAGTACTGCGGGAAAGCAAGTAAAAGGCAGAAAAGGAGAAAAGCGCTGGCGCTCGGCGAAAGAGAACGTGTGAAGGAGCAGTCTCACTATGTTAGCTATGTTTAAAAAAAAAAATGGGGAGGAAATCCGAGGGGAGCATTTAGTCCTCGACGCACGGAGAGAGTCTAGTTTCAAAGTTAACGGAAGGGGAGACAGACCTTTCACCATCACTCCCCCCCGCCTCCAGTCTGCAACACATTCCGTTGCAATCACCCTGCGTGCCCTCCCCAACTCGCTCGCCACCGAGGCCATTCCCTTACCAACTGCGCGTTTCTTTTTGGGTTTCCGTTCCACCCCTTCACCTTCTCTCGCGGAAGACGGCCGGGCTTCGCTTTCTCCGTTATCGCTTCCTCCCTGAGCCTCCGCCACCGAAAAGTCGCCCGCTCCTGACTCCGGCCCCACGCGGAACGGACACCCCGCCCACGTGCCAGCGAGGACCAGCGACTGGCTCGGGGGCGGGGGGGACGCTCGAGTTCCCTTCACTTGGCTTGAGGGTGCCGTGCTAAAGGCGCGCGCGCGCCCTCCCGAAAACGAAAGGATGTGGCAAAAGAGCGGGGCGGGGTGATGCACCCCAAACGAGCCAGCCCGCCTTTCAGTTCTAGCGCGTGGCGCGAACGCAGCCCCTGCGGTTACTGTACGACTCAGTAGGTCATAAGAACCTAGGAAATGGGGGCCAGGAAATAAAGATTAATCTGCCCAACGGTGGGCAAGCGCATCGTGCAAATACAGTCGCCGGCGAATTCACACGTCGCGGAGAACTCAAATGTGCTTTGTGTTTGGCTGTGCTATTTGTGGGAACCTAGCTGTTGCGGGGTTTATTTCGTCAATAACGTTCAGCAGCCATCCCCCCAGTTATGATGTCCCATTCAAGTCACGGGGTTTTAATTCCAGGCAGGCTCTCAGCCACTCCAGCTCCTTGTTTATCTTGCCTCTTAGCGTATCTGAAGAGTTAAGACACCGAAGGAGAGACAAACACAGCGCTCACAATTCAAGGAAGTCTCCCTTTTCTAAGTGAAAGCGCTGGCGCATTCCTTAAACGCTTCCCTTGGAAGGAAGCCTCCGCGGAGCCCGGGCCAAGAGCGGAGGCCTTTCCCGGTTGCCTAGCTGAAATGCTGCCCACCCACAGCCTCGAGTTGGCAGAAAACCCAGAGAACTGGGAAGTTCTGCTTTCTGTGAGGGGCGTTTCTTTGATTAAACTTGCTTTTTTGGCACAGAAGCCCACTTCCAAAGATACAGAGCAGTGCATTTTATGATTCAGTTTCAAAGATGAAACCAAATAAAAGCAGTAACAAAACCTCACCCATAGGAGAACTGCCAGAAAGAGAATTTGAGAACGCTTCCACTACTTCACAAGACGTGTGCATGTATACGTATGTTTGGTCTATTTATTCAAAGAAGGATCCCTCAGTCCTTTTCAGCCCACAAAAACACACTTTATTTTTAAAAACTAAAGAATGTGCAACTACAAAATGGCTTCTCTGAAGCCATGATTAATTCCATCTGATTTGGAAAGCCCTCCACTTGTTTGCTAAATCCACAGCACAGCATTAAACTATGATAAGGCTTGTTTGGTTTGGGCTTAATGTGTTGTGGTTTGTAAACTCGGATTTATGGTATAATCCAAGGCACAAACCTTGGCATCATGGCTTATTCAACAAACCATGGTTTGGTATCATGCTGATGATACCCAGCTTTATATCTCCACCCTTGGCAAATTAAGCAGTGCTGTTGGGGTCCTGTCCCGGTGTCTGGAGGTTGTGGGGGTCTGGATGGGGAACAACAGGCTTTGTCTCAACCCTAGTAAGACTAAGTGGCTCTGGGTATCGGGGTCTGCTCGTTCCATGGACTTACCATCTTTGGTTCTGGATGGGGTAGCACTGCCCCAGACAGACATGGTATGCAATCTGGGGGTTCTCCTTGATTCATGGCTCCTGCTCAAAGAGCAGGTGGCAGCCATGGCCAGAAGGGCCTTTGCACAAGTCCATGTTATGTGCCTGTTGCACCTATACCTGGACCAGGAAGCTTTACTCACAGTCACTCATGTCCTGGTCACTTCTCGAATGAAGTACTGCAATGCACTCTACATGGGGCTGCCCTTGAAGAGCATCTGGAAGCTGTAGCTAGTATGCAATATGGCGACGTGGGCAGTTATAGATGCTCCTCAATCAGTGCACATTACACCTCCACTTCGCGAGCTGCATTGGTTGCCCATATGGTTCTGGGTTCAATTCAAGGTGCTGGTTATGACCTATAAAGTCCTATGTGGCATAGGACTGGGTTATTTGCAGGACCGCCTCTCCCTGGTTACATTTACCCATCCCATCAGGACCAGCAGGAGAGACATGTTATGGGTCTCATCTACGAAAGTGTGTCATCTGGCAGGACCCAGGAAGAGAGATTTTTCCACCTTGGTGCCCACCCTGTGGATCATCACCCCTGGCCCTGATTCTCCCAGTCTTTAGGAATGCCCTGAAGACATGGCTCTGCTGCCATGCCTGTGGGTCTGGCAATAATGGTAACTAGTTTAAAAGTTAACTATTAAAATAGTACATTTATTTCTTGCACAACCCTAACCCCAAACATATCACTAACTCCATTCAGGCAGGTGGGAGGGGAACTGAACAAATGCATTTATTATTTTAGATAAATGATAAATGCAAAGTCTTATGTCATAATTAGGTTTGTGGGGAGGGAGATTGGGCATGGTACAAACCAGATTTTGTGGTTTGTAAGCCACGATCAATGGTTTATCAAACCCAGCCAATGATAATGTCTTAAATAAGCCCTGGTTAAGCAAATCAGGAGTTGATATGATAGGTAAACTGGGTCTTAATCTTATCTGATTCTTATGCCAACCAGCAATAATACTCTAATGCCGCCAGAAGCTGTTCATCTTTTTAACTTGCTTAAAACAAACTCAAAAAAGAAGGGGCCAAAATCGCTGGTTTCTCAGCTGAGCCTTGGTGTTGCCTAAAGGTAACACACCTCCCAACCAAATCTGTTTCCTATAGGCAAGAATGAGGTGATGCATATTCAGCAATCAGTAATCTCTTTTTTAAACTTTCTTCAGTTTGCCGTTGGGAAATTATTTTCTTTTTCCAGCAAGACGTATCAAAAACAGAAGTACACCATCTCAAAAAAAAAAAAAACTGAGAGAATTAATAAAAACAGGAAGGGCTGGGACAAAAATAAGAGGAATGAACAACTGGAAACGTGTAACTACAACAAACCCTGATGGCTCAATCGCTTCGGAGAGAAGTTTCCCCTTGCAAGGCTTTCGTTATTTTTTCCTGTAGGCAGCCAGTGGGGCAGGCCTGGCAAGAATCCTCAGCTGGCAAGAACGACAGAGAGCTCATCTGGATGCCAGTCCCGACGTTGCCGAAGCGACACTGCCCCATTGTAAGTAGGAGACATGGGGAGATCAAAACATGCTCAGAGCACAAGACAATGTTTAAATCAGGACATAAGCATTTTGTCTAGGCAGTGAATACTAACTAATTCTATTTGTACAACATGCTTACACTGAGTTGCAGGGGGCAGTTGATAATGTCCTATGAAGAGCTGAAACCAGTCAGCACTGGGATTAGTGAACCCTTCTAACAGCAGGCTGGTCTAGGAAGCCTGGCTCTCATCTGACTTTTCACACATACCCTTGGTGGCCCAGCTGAGTGAAATGGGCAGAAAAAGATGGAGCGTGGCCCTGACCCCAGTCGCAACAGGGTCTGACCAGGTCATCCGTGATGGTATGCTCTGGTGCGGTAGGCTCCGGTTGTTATTCAAGGGGGGTGGCTGACAGGGTCGGTCAGGATGTGCAAACAGAGCCATTGACAACCGGGGGAAAGGAATGAAAAAAGGGGAGAAACGGTGGAATGCAGCATTTTGAATTTTGCGCAGGAGTATTTCCCACCGCAGCATTATCCTGCAAGTTGCTCTTCTTTCCTCTCTTGCTAATGTTCACACTATCATGCCTGTTGCCTACGTAGCCAGAATGACACCGCTCAGAGTCATGAGAAAGCGACAGACACAAGGTTTATAGAAGTACAGAAAAAACTGTTAGGAAAAAGTGTGTTTCGGGGTTGAGGGAAGAACTAAGATGACGCTAAGGTTTACTGAGTGCTAATTTGCAGTTAAGGGTAAACAGGGACATAATATTGCAGTTGCAGTTTTTAGCAGCAGCACTCCATATTGTACGGCAGTGTTTTGTCACAAGCCCCGCTTGTTTTATGAGACCTCCATATTCTGCCTTCTAATATTTATCCAATGAGAGAAAGGGGAAATGACGCTTTTTAGGACAGTATGTGAAAGGGATATAGTAATTTCTTGTTTTTTTCTTTGTTTACATATTTTATTAGAATTTTACAGTACAATAAAAGAAATGAACAATAAGAAAAAGAGAAAAGAGAAAATAAGAAAAAAGAAAGTAAGTGAAAAAAAAGAAAGAAAACAGAATTTTGACTTCTGCCCTTCTTTCTATCGAGTAATTGCCATCTTATCCTTTCCCCTCCTGCTTTAACCCTTCTTAAACTCACTTATGGTTTTGAATATGGTAAGACTGAATTTGAAGCAGAATTATGTACTAATGATGAAC